TTTTTGCCTTTGTGGCTGTGCCAGCTGTGTGGGGTGGTGTGTTGGCCAGGTGTTCTCAGTATGCTGGGCTGCTTGTGCCAAGGGCTACCTTCTTTTGTATTTCAGGGTTATCTTCCCTTCGACGTTCAGTTCTCGTTCTCGCTTGAGGGCTTTGTTGTTTGGTGTGGTTCTCGCCCTTGGGGTACGTCGGGGGTCTTGGGCTTTCCATTTTGCCCCGGCTAGGGACTGGGGTTTGCTGGGCTGGGCGCAATGCAGCTGGTACAGCCTGCACACATGTGGAGGCCGACGACTTGCTCCGGCGACTAGTTTGTTTGTACTCATTTAGTTGTGCTTGCGGGGGTTTAGCTTCGATTCAGGTCCCGCCTTTTAACCATCAATCAACTGTAATTACCTAAGTGTAGTTACAGAATGAGAACTATGCTTGTGGTGTCCCGTCTTCCCAGCACTCTTTGTCATATAAGGCTTTGAAACTACTGACTGTTTTGGCCTCCACCACCACCTCACTTAGCTTGTTCCAACCATCTACCACTCTGTAATAGAAAATTTTCTAATGTTTTTGTGGCACCTTTGTTTCCTTAGCTTGAGCTTTCCTCTGTATCCTCTTGTTCTTAAAGTTCCAGGTCTCAGGAATTCTTCCCTATCAATTTTATCGATTCCTGTTACTATTTTGTACGTAGTGATCATATTGCCTCTTTCTCTTCTATCTTCTAGTTTTGACATATTTAACGCCTGTAACCTCTCCTCGTAGCTCTTGTCCTTCAGTTCTGGGAACCACTTAGTGGCATGTCTTTTGTACCTTTTCCACTTTGTTGATGTACTTCTCAAGATATGGGCACCATACAACCGCTGCATATATCTAGCTTTGACCTAACAAAAGTCATGAACAATTTCTTAATATTTCTCCATCCATGTACAGTATTTAAAAGCAATTCTGAAGTTATAAAGCATAGCATACGCTCCTTGCACAATGTTCTTTATGTGGTCCTCAGGTGATAGTTTTTTATCTAGAACCACCCCTAGATATCTTTCTTTAAAAGAAGTCTTTAAAGATTTTCTACAGAATTTATGGGTTGTGTTGTGTCTATGTTCTCCTATTCCACATTCCATAACATGGCCTTTATGCACATTAAATTCCATTTGCCAAGTGGTGCTCTATATACTTATTTTGTCCAGGTCTTCTTGAAGGGCATGGCAATCATCTAAGTTTCTTATCCTTCCTATTATTTGAACATCATCAGCAAATATGTTCATATAATTCTGTATTTTATCTGGTAGTTCATTTATGAAGACAATGAACATCACTGGTGCAAGAACTGAACCCTGTGGTACTCCACTTGTGACATTTCTCCAGTCTCATACATTGCCTCTGATTAGTGCCCTCATTTTTCTATCAGAATTTTTTTTATCCATGTTAGAAGCTTACCTCTAATATGTTTCAGTTTCCAGAACAACCTCTTATGTGGAACTCTGTTCAAAGCCATTTTTTTTTTTAGGTCCAGATAGATGCAGTCAACCCAACCATCTTTTTCCTGTAAAATCTCTGTGGCTCTGTTGCATAGAATCCGAGTAAATTCCATACACAGGATCTTCCAGATCGAAAACCATACTGTCTGTGAGATATTATATGGTTTCTCTGGTACTACGTACCAGCTCAGAAGCTGGTTATTGATGAATCCCTTGTGCTTTTCAAAGGACGTGCTGCCTTCAAGCAGTATATTCCCTCAAAACGTCACCGATTTGGACTGAAATTCTTTGTGCTCTGTGACTGTGAATCAGGAATGGTGTTACACATGATACTTTATTCAGCCACAAATGTAGATATTCCTGCTAAGGACGAACATGGCTTCTCAGGTAGTGTGGTGAAGGCACTGCTTGCACCATATCTGAACAAGGGCCACATATTGTACACAGATAACTATTATACCAGTCCCGTGCTAACGAAATTCTTGCTTGATAATAAGACTGGAGTGTGTGGAACAGTAAAGCCAAACGAAAGGAAATGCCTGTGTTTGACACTGCTATGCAAGTAGGTAATTGCGAGGTAAGAAAAAGTGGTGCAATGCTTTCAGTGCGGTTGAAAGACAGACGTGAAGTGAACATGTTGACCACCATTCACCCTGGTATAATGGTGGACAGTGGCAAGGTGAACAGAACAACAAAGCAAATAATATATAAGCCAGATTGTGTGATGGACTACAACATCAACATGCGTTTAGTTGATAAATGTGACATGATGGTGGGTGCTGTAGTGTACGTAAAACAGTGAAGTGGACAAAGAAAATTATTTTCCATCTTATTGACGTAACAATGCTGAACAGTTACAACATGTTTCTTGTGAAGACAGGTAGAAAACCATATTTCCGTTCGTTTAGTTTTCAAGTTGTGAAACAGTTGCTAGGTAAATTTGGCAAGGACACACCTGGCATACAAAGACCCATTCGAGACCCAATACTGAACCATGCTCCTGCACCCAGGCTCGCTTACAGGGAGGCCTTTCTGATACACCAAATCAAGAAATTACCACCAACTGGAGCTCGTGCAGCAGGCCAGCGTCAGTGTGTTGTGTGTTCCAGTACCAAATTGAGGCCACAGAAACGTAAATTGGTGTTGACGTGGTGCGAAGCGTGTGCCGTCCCTCTGTGCCATATCGACTGTTTCGCACAGTACCACAGTGTAGTACTGTGATCATTAGTACTGGAGTACTAAATGTGTAATTCTTTGGTAAATAAATGTACATATCAAGTTAATTTTTGTGTTTATATTGAAAAAAACCCAAATACATTGAATATTTCCTGTAAATTATACCATTTTGGTGGGCATACTTGTGACACTAATATGTGAGCGCCTAGTGAGTTTATACCATTTTTATTATAATACAACGTCTAATGCTAATAATTGGAACAATATTAGCAAAAAAATTTTTGTGTAAAATGACCCAAGAATACTGTAAATAATTCTGCGAAAATAAATTCGCGGCAACTCGGGCCGCGTGAGCGGCCGTGAGTGACGGCTGGCTGACGCAGCACCCTTGAGCGCTCACGTTCTGTGACGTCATCGGCCAACTTCTCGGCTCAATTGTGTCATTGGTATGTATAATAGAATTTTTTTATTATTTTTTCCGTGCTCAGGAGACTCAAATTAACATGTTTAGAAGACGAAAAAAAAAAATTATTTTTTTTTTCTTGCGCACAGGGGTGTAAATGCCCCCAGGACCCCTGAGCAGTGTAAGGGTTAAAAAATATTGTGAGTTTTTTCCTCCTGGCGGCCTACATAACGTACTATAACTGCCCCAAGTGGACTCGTCCAACACTGGTCAACCCATGTGCTCCCGTGCCTCGTGCCTCGTGTTATACCACAGTGCTGCGCCATTAGTGAAATATTTTTTTAAATCTTTGTTTTCATAGTAACTTTGAACATTTTTGCCAAGACTATGTCTGGTAGCAGCATCAATCGTTCTTTAGGTGTTAAGTGGAAGAAGGTTGTCCTAGCAATTTGAGACAAGCTATGTGTTGTTCAACCAGTGAGGCGTTACAGGCAGCCAAATGCCTTCAACAAGTGAGGCGCCACAGGCAAGCCAAGCCCCTTCAACAAGTGAGGCGTCACAGGCAAGCCAAATGCCTTCAACAAGTGAGGCTTCACAGGCAAGCCAAGCGCCTTCAACAAGTGAGGCTTCCCAGGCTCCCCAAATGCCTTCAACCAGTGAGGCTTCAGCAGCTGGCAGTCAAAACTAACTTTGCTTAATGAACTGTACAGTACAGTAATTTTAAGTGTTAATTTTAGTGTTGTGTTAGTATAGGTTACGTAAATTGTTAAGAATTCTTAACCTCAAGATGTGTGGCATCAATCAAGAAGACGAACACCAACAAGGTTAGTTGAGGTTTCTAGTTGAATATTTAATAATTATATGTGGCAAGGCAATTCAAATTATGTTGTTTGTAGTATAAAAATAGTTGGAAATGGTCACTTTTGGACTCGTAGGGTGAAAAAGTACCATTATCCGAAAAATGTGATAATCCAGCTGGGGGTCCTTCCCATATAGTCCGGATGATCAAGTGGAGACAGTATACTGGGACTACAGTACATTAGTCGTCTTCCATATTTCTGGTAAGTCTCCCATCTCCAGTGACCAACTATACACTATGGAGAGTGGCCAGCAAAGTGCTTCTGCACACTCTTTTCAATACCTATGATGAGATTTCATCTGGACCAACAGGCTTTCTCACGTCCACATCCAACATATGCCTCTTGACCTCATCTCTTGTAATTTCGAACCCCTCCAAGGCCGCCTGGTTTACTGCCACCTCTCTTAGTGCAGCGACCACTCCTCGTTCTATTGTGAAGACCTTCTGGAATCTCTTGTTGAGTTCTTCACACACCTCATTGTCATTCTCTGTGTACCTGTCCTCACCCGTTCTAAGTTTCATCACCTGTTTTTTCACTGTTGTTGTGGACATATGAGAGTTCGTACAATGAGCATTCATATAACAGACACACCATATACTTGAATTTAGTAATGTATAATTATGTATGATGCACAGGAATAATGTTCCCTATCATAGGTCTTATGTTAGCAAGGAAGAACATCATTTGAACATTAACCCTTAAAGTGCGCATCACGTCATATGACGTGTTAGACGTTGTTCCAGTCAACTGCGCTTCACGTCATATGATGTGTTGGAGTACTACGCAAGATTTAAACGGCCCGCGGATTCACGGGGTTTACCACACCTTCATCAGGGCTCTTGTAAACAGACGCCATTTAAAAAAAAAATCGTGGGCCAAACTCTCAGGTGTTATTGGCCTCAGTATTGAGTGAGCAACCAAGCCTGACGCACGCAGCATGAGCTAACAGCACTGCTGTTCAGCTTGTGACCACAGCATCGCCTAAAAATGCCAAAATATACTTGTTCATGCTATTATGTAGCAATGATATTATTACAGAAGACCCCTGACTGTGATAAAACTGACCAGGGTTCTGATAATAGCAGGATTTTGGTGATATTTAGTGCTGTGCGCCATGGAGGGAGGCTGGTGGCGATGTCTTCTGACTGTGTGTGGCCACCTTTTTATTGACTGCACTCAGCATACCAGCTTAGTGGTTCGCTATGGTGAACGCAAATGTTGATACTTATATATAACGTGTGTATAGAGGGTATAAACAGCAAGAGAAGGTTTGGAGCCGCCATTTTGGTGAGGGCGGTGGCGTCGTCTGCACGACGCCACCGTGCAGACGACGGTGTTGTTTACTGGTTACCACAATGGTCTTTGGGCACCATACCAGTTTATTTGTACAAGTATGGTGAATAAAACGGGTAGATATTTATATATAATGTGTGTATATAGCGTAATAACACCACACAGTATTGTTGGAGGAGAAATATTAGTGCGTCTGACCTTGAGGGCGGCAGCCATTAGCTGACTGTGTGAGGTCCTACGTCTTTGTGCCTTTACTCACCATACAAGCTTAGATGTACAGTTATGGTGAACAAAACATGTAGATACTTATATATAATGTCTGTATATAGTGAATTATAGAAAAAACAGTATTGTGGGAGGAGAATGTGGGTGAGTCAGATGACTGGAGGGAGGGCAGGAGTGGTTGGCTGGTACACGGCGGTCACTCCTCGTTACTTTTTGACTCATAATAGCTACTTAGTGGTTCGTTATAGTGAACAAAACATGCAGATACTTATATATAACCTGTGCTTATAGTGTAATAACCGACAAAGTATTTGTTCACTGATTGATGAACATAATTGAATCAACAATATGCACACCATATTTTTGAGTACAGCAATGATTCATTCATTTTATTATATAAATATATCAAACTACACACTATTGAATAATATTACAGCAAAAAAACTATGAAAAATCAATCAGAGTCATTGAAATAATTAGGTAATTATCTCTTTGTGGCAACTCCGGCCTGACAGCTGGCGAGCAACAGACCGCCTGGGACGCATGTTGAGTCAGTTCCTATAATTTGCCAGACTTCCCCGCCCTATAGCGGGCAATATATGCTACTAACGATTTTTTTATTATTTTTCCCGTGATCAGTGAACACAAATTAACAGGTTAGGAAGAAAAAAATAATTTTTTTTTTTTCAAAATGACATGCGCCTGTGGGGATGACAGGATATTAAAACACTTTCGCCCAGGCATGACGCAGCATTGCATCATCCGTTTACTGTCGGTAATCACGGGCATGACGCAGCATTGCGTCATCCACTTTAAATAATCGCCAAAAATCAGATTTTTATCCGATTTTTTTGGGACTGGTTTTAAAATGCGAGCCGATGTCTTCCCATTTTCTTTGTTGCGCCTCGTGGCCCGCAGGCGGCTCGGCACACACCGTCGGCCCATTGTTTTCGCTCCACTGTTGTGACTAGTGTCGCCTCCCCTTGCATCTCAAACGTGTGAACATTTCGGCTATTTTCCGTGCTTATATTTCTTACTGCGGCTTTAGGAACTATCTACGCTTACTGCACGATGGATAGTGATCATGAACAAGGCCCTTCCAGGAAGAAAATTGCGAAAGAAAGGCTTGAAAGGGCGGGAATTGGGAGTGTAGCTGGAAGGCGTCTGAGCGCTCACTCGCGGCTAACGTGTGGCCCGTCTTCAACTCGTCGGCGGTTAGAGCGTGACCAGGTTTTTTATTTTATATGCTAATGTTCCTCTAGAGAATTCTATTGCGAACCCATTGAGACCAAAATGAAAGACCTAGGACGAAAATTGAGGTGATCAGAGTGAAAATAGTGAAAACATTTTATCGCGTTTGCGCGCTCCTGGGTAACTCGTTCGCACTTTCTCTGTTTGCTGCAGGTAATTAGCCGGGCTTTTGGAGTTTATATGCATTTAGTGCTGTAGAGAATTCTATTGCGAACACAATGATACCAAATTTAATCTCGTAGGACGAGAATTAAGGTGACAAAGTTGAAGAGAGTATACACTTTCAGAATTTACGCGCGCTCCCGTGAAACCCTGGGACCCAAATCGCGCAGTAGAGGGGTGGCGCGCGGGGTACGCCAAAGTGTTAAACCCCGAGCATGTTAAAGGTTAACCCTTAACCATTAAACCGCGCAAATCATATATATATATATATATATATATATATGCTTTCAGTGACAAAACCGAAACTGCACATGTCATATATATACTGTATATGATTTCGTGTCTAGCGCTATAGTTTAAACGCTCTGCCTGGGATCGGGGCAGCTATAGCACAGCCATGACTGATAGTTGCCAGATGCCACCTAGACAAAAAAATCCTTGCAAACATTCTTGGGTGTGAGAGCTTCAGTATTGAACAAGCCACAAAGGCTGACGCACGCAGCACGAGGCCACAGCACCGCTGTTCAACTTCTGACCACAGCATCGCCTACAAATGCCATAATATATATGTTCATGCTATTATTTAGCGATGATAGTATTACAGAAGATCCCTGACTGTGATAAAACTGACCAGGATTCTGATAATAGCAGGATTGTGGTGATATTTAGTGCTGTGCTCCATGGAGGGAGGAGTAATGCTGTGAGAGGGAGGATGATGGTGTTGTCTTTTGACTGTGTGTGGCCACCTTTTATTGACTGCACTCACCATACCAGCTTAGTGGTTCACTATGGTGAACACAAATGCAGATACTTATATATAACGTGTGTATAGAGTGTAATAACAGCAATAGGAGTAAGTTGGGAGCCGCCATTTTGGTGAGAGAGATGCATCGTCTACATCTACATCATGCATCTGCACGACTTATGTTGTTTACTGGTGGCCATTATGGTCTTTGGCCACCATACCAGCTTATTTGTACAGGTATGGTGAATAAAACAGGTAGATACTTATATATAATATGTGTATATAGCATAATAACACCACAGACAGTATTGTTGGGGGAGAAATATTAGTGCGTCTGGCCTTGAGGGCGGCTGCCACCAGCTGACTGTGTGAGTAGCTACGTCTTTGTGCCTTTACTCACCATACAAGCTTAGATGTACAGTTATGGTGAACAAAACATGTAAATACTTATATATAACATCTGTGTATAGTGAATAAATGCAAACACAGTATTGTGGGAGGAGAATGAGGGCGAGTGAGGTGGTGCTGAGGGAGGGAGTGGCAGCGAGTGTGTGGCGGTCACTCCTCGTTGCAATTTGACTCACAGTACCAACTTAGTGGTTCATTATGGTGAGCAAAACCTGCAGATACTTATATATAACCTGTGTATATAGTGTAATAACAGCAAAATATTTTTTTATTGTTTTATGAACATAATAATTGAATCACTAATATGCACACCATAATTTTGAGCACAGCAATGGTTCACACATTTCATTATATAAATATATCACAATTCACTGTATTGAATAATATTACTGCAAATAATTAAGAAAAAATTAATCAGAGACATTGAAATAATTAGGTAATAATATATTTGTAGCAACTGCCGCCTGACAGCTCGAGCGGAGTTGACCTCGTCTGGCGAAGGCTCTGTCAACGCCCCTATTTTTGCCAGACTTCCCTACCATATTGCGGCTAAAATATGCCACCTACAATTTTTTTGTTATTTTTTCCGTGATAAGGGAACAAAAAGGAACACTTTTATAAGACGAAAGAATTTTTTTTTTTTTTTTTGTGCCAGTGGGTGTTAAAGCCATTTGGACCCCTAGCGGTTTGAGGGTTAAACTGCGCATATTGGGGGGGCCCCAAAAGTTAAAAATGTTTGAATTGTGTAAAAATAACTTAAAAATGTTAAACAAGTCTCCAACTTATTGGCTTTAGTGCCGTGAAACTTTACTCAAAATATTTTCAGAAATTGATTTTAGACGAATTAAAAAGAATAAGAACCTTTTGCTGATAAGGAGAACAGCTCCTATTAACTGGAACTGAGGGATAATGCAGTAATAAAGAGATGCAAGCACCTGTCTGATGCTCAAAGAAGAATAGTAGTAAGAAGTGTCCACAAAGTGGACACTTCTGGTCCTTTTATAGCATTGCTGAGTAATACATAATAACACAAATAATAATGAGTAACTACATTATTATGCTCTATTTTGTTACGTATCATACAAATACATAATCCAATGTTTACGTATGTTACTTTCATCAATGTCCCAAAAAAAAAATTTTAGGGGATTTTTTTTTTTTTTTTTTTTTTTAAGAATTTAGTTTTTTTTTTCTCCTTTGTTTATTATTTGATTTCGTTGTAACTTTTACATCCTGGAGAGTGCATACTCTTCCCTAACTATGTAAAGATAGAATGAAATTGGTCAACAAATAAATCAGTCACAACTCGTGGAACTTGGGACTTTGAATTTTTTTGGCTGACTTTTTCTCAGATTTCGAACTCTATTTTCTTTGTCTCTTTAGGTTGTTTTGATGATTAGGGACCAGATTAGTGCTTTTTCACTTACATAAAGTATACCCCCCTAAATATATCCCCTAAATCATTTAATTATTATAATTATCCCTATACTTTGCTTTTGGGGTGGTGGGGGGAGGTATTTTTTCTTGACTTCATTTCAATACCTATTGACCTACAACCTTCACATATTCGAATACGAATGCCAAACAATATTTATTAAAACATACAATTAAATTAACAAATTAGAACTACCTTTATTCATTGTCAATAACTTCAACTTCACTTATCTCTGAAACTAGAGTTTCAACTTTGAGTGGCTTGTAAAATTCCAGTTTTTGACCGATTCTCACCATTTTGACATTGTGTGCTCATCTGTCTGCTCTACAATCCCTTGAGAATGGATTTTTCATAAACACTGCATGGTTGGAGTTATATATATTTTTTTGGTCTTAATTTGCCGCATATTTTAAATGCCACATTGACGATTTTTTTTATAGTAAACTATACTGAAAACCTGTATCTAATTTCATGAAAATGAAGGTCATATGTTATTCTGAGAGAATAACAACATCAAATGAACGATTTGGTGATAGTTTATATTTTTTATTCTGATTTGAAAATCTGAAATTTTCAATATTCAATTTTCAAATTATTTTTTATTCTCTTATTTTTCAAGTTATGGTGTGATCATTTAGACAATGTTGGAGCATTTGCCTTGCTGATAATGCACAAAATTTTTTAAAGTGTTTGTGCAAGTTTTAAAAACTTGAGTTATGTTAAATTATATATGTATGTTTTGCACGGTTTAAGGGTTAAGTAGTAGTAGTTTGATTTTGATTAAATTAATGCAATAATTTCACGAGTTCTGATGTTTTACTGATCATTCATACTTTTCCTTTACAGGTCATCACTGAACTGTATGAAGAACAGTTGCACTGGCAGCCGAGTCAGGCGCTCATGTAGGTGAGACAATTCTCCATGTTAGCACATATCAGTGTTGCAAACACAGTGATGCTGGTGTCAATACTAATCGCCTCAATATATGCCTCGATATCCAACCCATGTGAGAGCACACCCTTGGCAGCCAGTGTACATAACAATTCACCTCTTTAAGATTGCCACATGCAAAATTACCATCGTCTGCAATTGAAGATTATGCATTTTCACAAAGTGCTTCACATCTACTGACCTTCACCAGAAGTCGTGTGTGCTTAAATGATGTACGTTTTCACTTTAAGCATTGTAATAAAAGTGAAATATTTTCCTTTTGTGTTGTCCAAGATTTCAGTCTATTGAAATTCCACATTAGATTTTTTCACTTCTACCCCATTTTCTATGTGTAAGAAAACTTGATGATGTGATAATTTTTTAGTCATTACCTAACCTATATGTCCCTCATAAATTATTAAATTAATACAATTCAGTTTATGGCAATAAGAACAAGACTAGGAACTGCAGCGTACTGTATATATATATACGTTAGAAACAAAGTAGCATGCAGCAGCAGCCACACTTGTTATTCTAGATTCTTGTTAAAATTGTATTGATAAAAAGGATTTAATAAACAAAAAAATTATAAAACATTTTCTTAAAAACATATTTTAATGCATTACATAGAAGTAAGGTTAGAAGAAATAATCCCTTAATGGGAAACTAAATTGAAAAGGAAAAACTAATGATACACAGGAAGTTTATATTGGAAAAGTTGTGCACCCTGAGGATTCCAGATTTTGAAGAATATCTTGCTGCATAAATAGATATATGTTGTGTAGTATTTATACTATATCAGTATTCGGAGTTGCTTAAAGACAGTATGTACATTTTATCTGGTAACATTTTATGAGAGAAGCCACATTTTTGGGAGCATATCTTTGTAAAGAAAAAATACATCTGCATATATAATAAGAAACATGAGTCTTCATTCAGAAAAAGTACACAAGTGTACTATTTGTCAAAGGATTGTTTCATGTAGATCTACCCTAGTAACACACATGAGAGTTCATACAGGTGAAAAACCTTATCATTGCTCGCATTGTCAAAGGAATTTTGCATGTAGGTCTAGTCTAGTATCACATGTTAGAATCCATACTGGAGAGAAACCTTATAAATGTTCAGAGTGTTCAAAAGCCTTTGCATGTAAATCTACTTTAGTATCACATGTCAGAGTTCATACAGGAGAAAAACCTCATCAGTGTTCAGTGTGTTCAAAAGCCTTTACATGTAAATCTACCTTAATATCTCATGAAAGAGTTCATACTGGAGAGAAGCCCCATCAATGTCCAGATTGTCTTAAAACATTTTCTCAAAATTCGGATCTAGTTAAACATTTGAGGGTTCATACAGGAGATAAACCTTATCAGTGCACAGAGTGTTTGAAAGATTTCTCGGATAGCTCTCATCTTTTAAGACATATGAGATGTCACACAGGAAAGAAACCATTTCAGTGTTCGGTGTGTTCAAAATACTTTATACAAAAATCTAATTTAGCAACACACATGCGAGTTCATTCAGGAGAGAAGCCATATTCCTGTACAGTATGTATAAAAGTTTTTACGCGAAAATCAGACCTACAAACACACATGAGAGTTCATACGGGAGAAAAGCCTTATCAGTGTACAGTGTGTCTTAAAAGCTTTTCACAAAAATCAACTTTAGTAACACATACGAGAGTTCATACAGGAGAAAAACCATATCAATGCTCAATATGTTTAAAGCCCTTTAAACAGGAAGCCCATCTAGGAGCACATATGAAAATTCATTTTGGAGAGAAATCATATCGATGTTCAGAATATCTAAAAAACTTTAGGATAAAAATGATACAGTAAAATATAAATGATCATACTGAAAACAAATTGTTGGATTGTGCATGTCTAAATGTGAACTGTGAAATAACATACAGAAGGAAAAACAAAGTTGTTTATATGAAAGGTACAGTAATTTAATTTTTAATAGATTAATACGGGAAAGTTTGTGCAGTGTTGAAATGACATTTGGGTTTCCTTCTGTATATGACTTTGGATATTGATTTACTCTAGTGATCCATTTAATGGTTTGTAAAAGGAAGAAACCCTGCAAAATTCAAAGTATTTAAATGAGTTTTTATATAAATCTACACTGATGAAATAAGTTTCATGCAGGAAAAACTGCTGGATTAATTGAATTAATCCGTTCCACACCCCCTAAAATATTAACTTAAAAATACATTTTATACTGAATACAATTTTTTTTCTCTAACTACCATTCAGTACATATGTTTATCTTACCTTTATGGAGAACTCTTGATGCCATATGAAAGATGGTGAGTAGGGGGAGGAAGAGAAGTGTTACTGTTTTGAATGGGGAGTCCCCTTCCATTATAACATCAGGCAGTGATGACTTCTCTGGCGTACACACTCTCCTACATTTTGCCTGCACACCACTAGGACCTGGTTGTGGTTCATTGCTTGTTTGTCTCACAAAAAATTTGTCCATGGAAATTTGCTTTTCCCTTCGTTTTCCCAAATGTTTTCCCAACATTTGTCTGTATTGATGCATCACAGTGTCATTGAAAAGGTTGACGCAACGGCCTAATGTAGCTTGATTTGGGTGAGTCGTTTCGGCAAAAGTTTGCAGTTCTTCCCATACTGCACACATTTTCTTAATTTTTGAGGAAGGGACATTTTGTACTGCCTTCTCCCCTGAAGAAATTTCCTCAGCTACCTCTTGTTGCTGCTCCTTTAGCAGGACTTGGAGTTCTTTGGTGGTCAGTTCTTCGCTGTGTTCCTCCACCAACTCCTCAATATCAGCACCATCCAACTCCAAGCCGAATTGCCAGCCCAGATAAACAATTTCCTCAACAAGATGCATTTCAGGTTCAGACTCAAACCCTCAAAGTCTCGTTCTGAACACATTCAGGCCACAATTTTCTCCAGCCAGAGATCATGGTTCTTACAGTCACTTCTTGCCAGGCTTTGTCTACGAATTTTAAAGCACTACAAATGTTAAAATGGTTTTTCCAGAACTCTTTGAGGGTGAGGATTGTGGCATCAGTCACTTCGACATATCTCCGAAAAAGTGCTCTTTCATAAAGTTTCTTAAAATTGGCAATGATTTTCTGGTCCACAGGCTGAAGTAGAGAAGTGGTGTTGGGAGAAAGGAACTTTACTGTAACAAAACTAAATTCCTCCATCAATGAATCCTCCAAGCCCGGAGGAAAGGCAGGAGCATTGTCGAGGAGAAACAGGGCCTGGAGTGGCAAACTTTTCTCCTGCAGATATTTTTTGATGGCACTTCATTTACCCACTTGGTAAAAAATTGCCTCGTCACCCATGCCTTAGCATTAGCCCTCCATATCACACACATTTTGTTTTTCTGCACATTATATTTTTTGAAAACCCTTGGATTTTTGGAATGATACACAAGCTAGGGTTTAATTTTCAAATTACCACTCGCATTACCACACAGCACAAGAGTAAACCTTTCAAGTTTCATAGGCTTGTGTCCGGGCAATGACTTCTCCTCCTTGGTAATGTATGTATGTCTTTGGCATCTTTTCCAGAATAGCCCTGTCTCGTCACAATTGAACACTTGTTGTGGTAGGTATGCCTCACTGCACAAAATCATTAAATTTGCCAATAAATCTTTCACCAGCTGGTTTGTCAGAGCTGGCACTCTCTCCATCTCCTCATAACACTATTAATGCCACTTCTTTTTCAAAATTTCTCAAACTATCCTCTGCTCACCTTAAACTCTTTCGCATCTGCATCACTCATTCCAGGGGTTTTCTTTATAAGATCTTCATGCAATTTCCTTGCCTTTTCACAAATGATGATATCTGAAAAACTATCACCTGTTTATTCCTTGCTGTGTACCCAAATTAATAACAACTGTTCAACATCCTTAAGTGTTTGTGTTCTGTGTTTTGTGATTATTGCTACGCCTTTTGCCACTTTAGCATTCATAATGTAATTTTTCTTAGCAATTATGGTGATATCGTTGACTGAGACTTGTTATACTGTGTAACTAGTTGAGCAACCTGCACACCATCTTCATGTTTACGAATATCTCTTGTTTTTCCTCTATGGTCATTCTTACGTGTGTTTTCATATGTTGAACCTTACCACTGACTTTCTTGGGACCCATGGTGTGATATATAATAATCAGTTTTATGTTAAAAAAAAAAATCACCAAAATAATGGAATTTTTTATAAGCGTGATCATCACTAAGCGGGCAGATCGGCCCGTGCGACCAGGAACCATGCGCTCGGTTGACCCAAACGCGTATCAACGAATATCGTTAGTCGACGACACTAATCATAAGTCGAGTCGCATTTTCTGATCAAATTTATATCGTAAATCGAAAATATCGTAAGTCGGGGCAATCGTAAGTCGAGGTGTCACTGTATTAATAACAGTGTTCATTATAAGCTAACACAATTACATACACAACAAATATAAGTGAAGAAAGTATATACAGGAAACCCTATAACTTGGCTAAGATTAAATGTGAACTTCAGGTTAAGTTCAAGTTAGTTTTTTTCTCGACATGTGAACTTTAAAAATTCTCTTAATTAAATTAAGATACTGCTTTTAAAGACTATGAAATTGCCACTTGCATTTTCTTTTTTTAATACAATGAGAGCTTGTTACAACAAGTTACATGTGGTGGAGTTGATTCATTGGAGCATAGAATGTATATGATCCACCATGGGGCCCACTTGGGGCCAAATTTTTATTTATTATTAATTTCTTTCCGCTGTTTTGTAAAAACTGTATCATGCACATACAGATTTTTCTTATTATACACAAATCCTCATAGAAATGAAATTCTTTGTCTGAATTTTAAAGTGGAGAAGGTAAAAAAATATAAAATAAAGCAGCAGCACTCTACAGTATACAAATAAAAGTAGAACGTAGGTTAACCAATGTTTACTACCTTACCAGGAAAGCAGCATTGTGTAGTCTTTGTTAATAATCCTTACCAGGAGAGCAACGTTGTGTAGTCTTGGTTAATAATCTTGAGTGCACAAAATTTGGATTTGTATGGAGTATTCAGTATTTACAGTATGTAAGGTAACAACTATATGGTAACAGTACTGTACACTAGAATCCACAGTTCAGAACATGAACCAAATTTTGTGTAAAAAAAAAAATCCATAAAATTTCTAGTGTATTACATAACCTTCACTTTGTACATCTTACTAGTTACTGCAGATGATGAGTCACAATAACGTGGCTGAAGATGTGATGACCAAACCACACACCAGAAGATGAAGAAACAACAACTGTTTCAGTCCATCCTGGACCATTGTCAAGTTACATATGATGACTTGATAATGATCCAGGATGTTGTTTCTTCATGTTCTAGTGTGTAGTTTGGTCGTCTTACTTGTAACATCAGCTCATTTGGCACTACTAGGAAAGGAGTCTTGGCTGTAGATTGGGTATTTCCAAAGATGAACTGGTGGCTGGTGTTAAGCTAACCTGGGCTTGCAGTCATCAAACATTTACACCTCCACTTACGACACCTGTACATAAGCTAACCTGGGCTTGTGGTCACCAAAGATTTACACTTACGACACCAGTACATCTTTCCTCAACCATGGCAGCTTTGTTTACATTTATTAGACAATTTATAAACTGCAAGGAGCTAAGAGGTGGTTTATAACAATAATAATCTTGGGAAGTTTTGAAGCTTGTAAACTGTTAAATACATTTCAATAAAGCTGCAATTATTGAAGAAAAATATACAGATTTCATAAGTGGTTGCATAAATGCGTGTTTAACCTTCGTGCTGCGTGGCTTTTACTGTGAGATTCTGGTGGTGTGTGGAAAATACAGTGTTCCCCCAATTTTTTTTTTTAATTGCTAAAATCCCTTCCCTGAACATGTACATGTAAACAAAATATAAAAAAAACATACTTTGGCTGTGGTGACGTGGAGAAGATGTGATGTGACATCACCGATACGGGTTTGCCTGTGCAGGTACCTCCCAGAGGCAGTCGCGTGGATGATTCAAGATTCGCAAGTTGCCACAAATATATTTAAAATTAATTTTAATGCTTTCTAATTACTATTTTTATTGTATCTAATGCACATTTGTGTCCTTTACGATATGTATACAGTAGAATGTTCATAATGTTTCAAGAAATTGTGATTCATGTCGCTAATGTGTCAACAAAAATGTTTATTGTCGCAACATTACTTGATTAATATTTAATTTATATACACTATGTACACTCACACACAATATTTACACGGTCATGCACTGTATTACACACTCAGTACTTTGGAAGTGAGTGATAATCAAAGCAGCCATCCATGGTACAAAGCACGACTTTGTTCTTGAGGCACCAGGTACACACACACATTATTGCTTCCTGTTTCTTCATTCTGTGTGCTTGCAAACAATGCACTCACGTACACCCTTGGCTTTAGTTCCTGTAGGTGGGTATATAGCCATGCTTGTGAACTATAAGATAGTCTTGAAAAGATCTGGGAAAATATCAATGACAAAATTCTGTCCTGGTACAAAGCAATACTGAAATTTTTGTCTGATATTGCTGAACATTTTTTTCACTTTTCAAAGTCAAGAATTTTGATCAACATTTGCAATGTTTTCAAAGTGTAGGAACTGTCCTTGCCAAGGAAGGCAACGCAAGGCAAGGCAAGGTAACCATAGAAAAATCAGGAACTGTCTCACAACATGTACTTGTTGAACACTGGGCTTGGAACAGCGCTGTCTTTGTTCCTTTGTTCCATTGTATTACATGTTTCATAAAATGTTTCATAAGCAGACACAGAGCTCAGAACACACACAATTCAGTCACAGTGGTGTCCTTCCATCGTGTCATACGTGAAGCAGGTAATAAGCCACCTGCAATACATTGCAGTTGCAATGCATACCTGTTGGTTTTATCAACAAGATGTTGCATGAATGGCTCATCAAAATAAGCCATAAAATATTCACTTTCATGCATATCTTCACCTGTATATGAGAAAGTGGGTTGCAACATCAACATCAGTATCATCAAATTGTGGTTTGTGTGGTATAAAATTAGAACACAGTCCTGCCTTGCGAATTCACCCGTGCTCCTTGTAATGGCACCACCACCACAAATGGCAATAAACATAAGAACAAAGGCAACTGCAGAAGGCCTATTGGCCCATACGAGGCAGCTCCAATTTATAACCACCCAATCCCACTCATATACTTGTCCAACCCGCGCTTGAAACA